GACCCACAGACCAACAGAACAGTTGATGAACATTTTGTCACATACTCTCAAATATATGATCACTTTTCTTTGATAAAGGAGCAAAAAATGTGAAATGGAACAAGGGAAACCTCTTCAACAAGTAGTACTGAGAAAACTGGACAGCTACCTGCAAAAAAAACAAACTCAGACATCTATGTAAAGTCAGGCACAAAAGTCAGAACAAAGTGGATTAAAGACTACAATATCAGACATGAATCCATAAGGTACAAGGAGGAAAATGTAGGCAGAATCCTCCATGACACTAAAGTTAAAGTCATCTTTAAGGATGAAACACCACTGACTAAACAAGTGGAAACAAGCATAAACAAATGGGACTATATTAAACTAAAATGCTCCTGCACCTCAAAAGAAAAAGAAACGGTGACCAAAATACAGAGATAGTCCATGAAATGGATAAGATTATCTACCCAGTACCCATCAGATAAGGGGCTAATATCCAGGATACACAAGACAGTAAAATTGTACAGGAAAAAAAACCTCAAACCCCATCAAAAATGGGGAGAAGAAATAAACAGAAACTTCCTCAAAAAAGAAATAGAAATGGCCAAAAGGCACATAAAAAATGTTCTACATTGCTAATCATGAGAGAGATTCAAATCCAAACAACAATGAGATACCGTCTGACACCACAGAGACGGGCACACATCAAAAAGAACTAGAAAAAAGAAGTGCTGGCACGGCTGTGGGTAGAAAGGGACTCTCTTTTATTGTTGGTGAAAATGACGGCTGGTCCAGACTTTCTGGAAAAAAACATAGTCATTTCTTCAAAATCTAGAAATTGAGCTCCCATATCACCCAGCAATACCACTTCTTGGAATATATCCCAAGGGTGCAAAAAAGCATAGTAGAACTGATACTTGCAACTGTATGTCCATTGCAGCACTGTTCATAATAGGCAGAATCTGGAAACAACCCAAGAGCCTGAGTACAGATGACTGGTCTAAGAAACTCTGTTTACATCTACACAATAGACTACTATGCAGCTGTTAGGAAAGATGAAATCATGAAATTCGCATACAAGTGAATGGACATGGAGAGCATCATGCTAAGTGAAAATGAGTCAGAAAGAGAGGAACAGACATAGAATGACTGCACTTATTTGTGGAATATAAAATAACAATATGAGACTAAAACAAAGGACAGTAGAGAGTAGAGACATGTACCATGGAGATTGCTCCATGGTTGGAAGCCTGCCTCATGAACTCGGGGGGCGGGGGGAGGCAACTGGGATAAAGAAGGGATCACTAACTCAATGATGGTTGCAGGGATTGCTCGGGATGGGAGATGTGTATTGAAAGTAGATAAAGGACCAAACATGATGGTCTTCCAGTATCTGTATTGCAAACCATGATGCCCAAAAGTAGAGAGAGACTAAGAGGGAAACTGTCTCCCATGGAGACAGTGGGAGGGGTGGAATAGGGGGATACTGGGGACATTGGTGCTAGAAAATTTACACTGGTGGAGGGAGGGGTGTTCGGTCACTGTATGACTGAAACTCAAATATGAAAGCTTTGTAACTATCTCATTGTGATTCAGTTTAAAAAAAGAAATAATAAAAGAACAAAAGCGAGAGAAAGAAAGAAAGAAAGAAAGAAAGAAAGAAAGAAAGAAAGAAAGAAAGAAAGAAAGAAAGAAAGGAGGGAGGGAGGGAGGGAGGGAGGGAGGAAGGGAGGGAGGAGAGGGAAGGAGAGAGAGAGAAAGAAAGAGGGAAAGAAAGAAAGAAAGAAAGAAAGAAAGAAAGAAAGAAAGAAAGAAAGAAAGAAAGAAAGAAAGAAAGAAAGAAAGAAGGAAAAAAAGAAAAAGACGGAAAGGAAGTGCCAAAAATTCCTGGCAGTCACATCCAAAACCGACGGCTGCTGCAAGACCAACAGCTCAACTCCACCATTTCATTAACACTCTGCAAAAAAACCATACTGCAAAAAACTTCAGGTAATCTCAGTGTCCAAGATGATAACTCTAGGGTCTTTTTGGAGTGGGATGGGCAGTCTCCCTCCCAACCCCCAAGCTTGTGGAAGGCCTGGCAGACAAGCCCACCTCGCAAAGTTGCAGCCATGCTGGCTCACCCACACAGCCCTGCTTTAATGATTTGCAACTCAATTTCTGGTGAGGTTCAAGCCAATTAGCTAACATTCAGCATTGATGAAGTGTTTGGACCCCACTTCATCAATATTGAAGTTCCAATAGGAGTATACCAAATTACAACTAAATGCAACAAAAACAACAGTGAAAGCTCAAATGGCAACAAGCAACTCAGTAAATTGTTAGAAATGAATTTAACAATCTCATGGTGAGAAAATAAAAATTTTCACATATTTTCTTTTACTGAAGTAACTTTTTTATATATTTCCTTGAGCTCTTTAGTTGCAACAAGAAGGGTAAAATAAATTACTGTGTTACTGGTAAGGGGCTACTTTTGAAGATGGTTTGGCAAATGGGGATCGTGGTGGCGGGAAGGTCATATTAGTGGTAGGATTGGTGTTTGAACTCAAAAGCCCACAACAACTGCACTATCAACAACTTTGTAAACCATGGTGTTTAAATAAAGTATCTTACCAAAAAACACAAAAAACAAAAGATCATAACCATTATTCCTTGTCTTTACATTTCCTTTCCCTAATACCTGCTATCCCGCATCACATTTTTATTCACTTGAGGTAGGAAGCATATCTCCTTCAGCAAGTGATCTATTAAAAGTGTCAGAAGCAACTAGCCATTAAGAATAGTCTAAAAGATGAATCAAATACACAAGGAATTTTTGCTCAGACTTTGTCTAGCACATTTATTTATCAGAGCAGTCTGGCTTTGCTGTTTGTCAAAAGATGTAAGGATAGCTACATATATCCTTACATTTTATGATTTTCAGATTTAAAGGAAATTAAACATAATTTAAATTAAACATAATTTAATTTAAATTAAACATAGATTTAAATTAAAATAATTTAAAGTAAATGTAGATTTTAAACAATTTAATCGCATATAATACATAATCGAATTATAATTTATTTGAATAACAAAATAAAATAGTAATTAAATTAAAATCATTTAAATTTAACATAGATTTTCAGATTAATTTCAAATTAATTTTTAAATTAATTAATTTTGGTTTGGAAGCTACAGTCTCTAAAGGCTTCCTCCTGTCTCTGAATTCAGTGATCACTACTCAGCAGGCTTGGGGAATATGAACCCTGGTTGGTTATATTCAAAGCAAGTGACTTAATCTGCTGTCCTATAACTCCTGCCTCTTGAAAGAGATTTAAATTTAGTTTATTTCAACAGAAACAGTACTGGCTGATTTAAAAAAAATATTTAAGAATTGACTGCAGTACTGTAGCACTGTCCTCCTGTTGTTCATCGATTTGCTCGAGAGGGCCCCGTAATGTCTCCATTGTGAGATTTGTTGTTACTGTTTTTGGCATATTGAATATGTCACAGGTAGCTTGCCAGGTTTTGCCCTGCAGGCGAGATACTCTCGATAGCTTGCCAGGCTCTCTGAGAGGGGTGGAAGTATCAAACACGGGTCGGCCGGGTTGGCCGCATACAAGGCAAATGCCCTACCCACTGCGCTATTTAGACAAGGAATATATTTTCTATCACTAATTTATCATTACTATAGAATGAACCAAAACAGGCTGGTGAATCCAGAGTCTGTACCTGCAATTAGAATTTTGCTCCAGATTAGCTAAATCGCAATTAGATGAATCTGTGTTTAACATCTGCAAAGCAGAACTTTTAGTTTGTTTTTTGGGTCACACACAGTGGCTAATCTTGCCTGAACTCAGGGATCACACCTTGTATGGCTTTAGGAACCTATCATATGGTGTACCAAGAATCAAATCTGGGTTGGCTGCATGCCAAGTAAGTTCCTTACTATATCTCTAGCCCTCTTGGAAAACTTTTATTACTTTTTTAAAAAAGTAGACCATCTGAAAACATTACAATATGCATATATTGGCCTTCAGATCTCATAGTGTTTAAAAGTGTTAAATCTTCTACTGTTATTTGAAACATTTAATTATTGTACTGGAAAGATAATATAGGCACTGTTTTGTACATGTTATTCTTTGGTCCAATCCCTGGGACCACAGGGTATATCCCTGATAGCCCCCATGCATGGCAAGCCTCAAGAAAAACTACATCCCGAGCCATTGCATTGAACCATCGATCTCAGTTAACCAAGAACCACTCAGGATGTTCCCTAGGTTTCTTGAGCACCAGAGGGAACCCTCTCCCATTAAAAAAACAAAACAAACAAACAAACAAAAACCACATCTACTTTTTCTATTAACATTTTTATACTTCTAAACAGTTAGCTTTCTAGACAAAAGACTGAAAAGAGCAGTGATCAACTCTCCAAGGTTACACTGCAGCTTTGACATCTCTGCCAATAAACTGGATAGTATTCCTACACCTACTGTTTTCCCTGAAATGACACTCTGGTCTTCTCAACTCTGCTTAATTCATATATACATATATTAGATATACAATTATTTCATTATACTTAGTTATATAATTTCCTATCCTTAAAATAAAATAGTTTATTAATAAGTATTTTTCAAATATCAAATGAACTACGTTCCCCCAAACTCCTCACATATTCATTTCTGTTTCTTACTCTATTTTACTCATTTAAAAATAAAAATAAATGTCTTTAAGTCATCTTTATAATAATTTTAAAATGTTATGTTTGTTAAATTGGAACACCCGAAGTTAAACTACAGATATACAATATAAATTTAATTATAATTGAATGAAAAATTAACTAAAGGGAACCAAGCTCAAATGAATGGGTAATTACTGATATATCCACCAACTTTCATATTTATAGTCATTTTTCAAACTTAAGGAGTGCTACAATTAATATAATGAGAATGATGAAGTGCTTTACTTTGCCTGTTTTTGAGTCTCATAGAAGTTTCAATCTAGAGATCATTATGTGTGTAATAAGATGAAACACATACCATATAATTCCGCTGGTAGTGAGTATTCTCTTTGTTAAAATCAATCACATAGCCATTGAAGGACCAAACAAATGTAAGATCCAAAGTACGATCAAATGAGGCAGCACATTGCATTGTGGCATTTTCTCCAACAGTAACATCGGCATTAATTGGGGCCAATATAATTCGTGTGGGATCTATACATTAATAACATAGGAGTAAAACAATTCAAGAAAATATGAGACAGATAATGGGTGCACTAAAAGAATAAAAAATCAATATATTATTTCTCTGACCAAACTAATAACATGTTTTCAAATACAAATTCTAGGAACAATTTGAGAAAGAAACAGATATACCAAAAGATATTTGAAATAGAAAATAACCAAAACATGAACTGTTTTAAAAGGTTTAGCTGTCTTGTTAGAAATAACTTTGATGGTGGTTGAAAGCAGTAAAAGTTGTACACTTTTAAATGTTAAAATTATTAACATTGCCACTGTTGTAATCATGATATCTAAAACAATTTAAAATATAGATATTAAATACTATGAAATAATGAAACTTGCTTTTAAATGGATGGACATGGAGAGCATCATGCTGAGTGAAATTAGAAGAAGAAAGACAGATGTAGAATGACTGCATTCATTTTTGGTGTGTGTGGAGAGAGAGAGAGAGAGAGAGAGAGAGAGAGAGAGAGAATGCCTGCCATAGAGACAGGTGTGGGGGGAGGTGGGAGGAATTGAGGATGTTGGTGGTAGAAACTGTACACTGGTGAAGGGACAGGTGTTGGAACATTATAGGACTAAAACCCAATAATGAACAACTTTGTAACTGTATCTCACTGTAATTCAATTAAAAATTTAATTAAAAAATATCATGCAACAAATGAATATCAATAAAATATTTTCTTACCTGTGATAACAAGAGTCCCTGTGCTATTAGCCTTCCCTCTATTATTTTCTGCAAAACATGTATAGATACCACCATCATTCCTTGTAATGTTATTAATTTCCAAACTGCCATCTTCCCAAATAAGTACTCTGTTGAAATGGTAAAAATAATGTGTAAAATTAATGTGATAAAATAGTTTAGTAGTGAATGTTTTAAAATACAAACGCTAATATACTTTGATTATTTAAACAAATTGTTAGAATAACTTTTTTTAAAGAGAAAACATTTTAACATTTTTTATCCTTTTTCTGCGAACTGACAAGTTACTTCTGAAAGTCACTTTTATCCTTTTCTTATATTATTGTGGCAGTCTCTAACTGATTTGCTTCTAACAACTGCTATCTATGCTCTAAGCTTTGTTTTATACATGTCAATCATATGTGACCATGTAACACATGGTAACATCATATGCTATTACACTTGATGTTGTTATTTTGCAATTCAAACCCCTCCAGTAAATTTCAATTTTTTGCAAAGTAAAAACCAACATTTTTTCATTGCTTTATTAAGTGTTAAAAATTTTTCATTTGTTTTTCATATTCTTAAAGTTTTTGGAAAGACAGATCTTTAGTAAGACTATGCCTCTTCGTTCTAATTCTAATTACCCAGATATATGTATATGTGTATACACTCATGTCATTGATCCTATCTCTCTGTTTATTTCTTACACATATTTTAATGAAATATTTGTTTTTTTATTAAGCTATTTCTACTAAATGGTAATATATTTTTTTGCAGGGTGGAGGGAGGGCTTGGGTCACATCCATCCAGCTGTGCTCAGGACCTATTCTTGGTTCTGGACTCAGGTCACTCCTGGTGAGGCTTCTAGAAGCTATGTGGTGCAGGAACCTACAGGGCCTCTTGCAAAACAGCAAAACAAGCTTCTTCCCTGATCCCAAAATGGTCATATCTTGATATCAGGAATTGGTACTTCTTTGTCTTAGGTCACATCTCCAATAGGCAATATATCCATTAATACATTCATTTATTTGAAAATTATCTTCTATATGCCAGACACTCATTAAGTAATGTATTTTAAAATAATAAATTAAATATTTAATTTATTATTAAATATTTAATTTAAATAGCTCTACTTTGAGTTAAAAAACCACGGTGAGATATGTGATTAATAAATATATATTATTTTTATTCTATACAATAAAGTGATGCTTACATATCTATATATTAATAGATAAAACTAGAGAACAAATATTAGATATATAGATTCTTGCTAGATCTTGTAGATCAAGAATTAACATAAGCTTATTCAAAATAAAGTATGATGACAGGCTTAAATAATAAGATTTAATGGCCTAAAATTTTTTTTGGAGGGAAGCTTCCCAAATTGTGCTCAGGAGGCCCCAGGTTTCCCATCAGCAAAACTCTGCAAACAGAGCCAAGTAGTTCAATGCAACGCCCCAAAGATACTGCTAAAACTTACTTGATGGAACTTATAACAACTAATCAGTGCAAATTTAAGTAATTAGCTTATGCAAGTAACCTACTTTATCTTTTGTCCTGAAGGCATAATGTACATGTTGCTTATGTTCTGCTATGGGTCTAGTAGACCTAAGGGCCTACTTAGAGAAATATGAGAATTTGCTGTTGATGATAAAAAGAAAAGTTGAAATAGGAAAAATAGGCTAAGTAGGCTAATAGGCTAAAATCACAAAATTAAATAATATGTAAATATAGATAGTCTGTTTTGGAAAATAAGTTAGAGATCTTTTTGATTGCATACTGTTCATAATTTTTGTGACCTGGAAAAAATTATCAAGAAAGCTGAGCTTGAATTTTATAACCCCTTATAAAAACCCCTAAGGGCCTAAAAAAGTAAAAATAAAAAATGGTTGCTATCAGTGATGGATGCAAGAGCGATAGCACAGCGATTAGGGAATCTGCCTTGCACGTGGCCGACCCAGGGACCCGGGTTCAATTCCTCCGCCCCTCTCCGAGAGCCCGGCAAGCTACCGAGAGTATCTCGCCCACATGGCAAAAGCCTGGCAAGCTACCCGTGATGTATTTGATGTGCCAAAAACAGTAACAACAAGTCTCACAATTTGTTGTGAGATGTTACTGATGCCCGCTCGAGCAAATCCATGAACAGTGGGAGGGCAGTGTTACAGTGCTATTAGTGATGGATAAGTATCTCTGTTCATTCTTGAACGATAGTACCTCTTAGAGAAAAGCTACAAGACACATTACATTATTATTTAAAAACAAGCTCTCTGTAAAATTAATTTTCCCTAATAATGAATTACATTTGGATTTCTAGTGTCTAAACTTACTTGCTGCTATTAACAAGCCATTCTGTCCCTTTACTCCATGAAAATTTTGGCTTAGGTGCAGCTTTGGGTTTGCATTCAATTATAACTCTTCCTCCTTTAGCAGCCAGAATCTTTTTCTTCATGGGATTCATTTCAAAAGTTGGAGCCAAAGCTAGAAGGAAATAAATCACCACTTTTCTCTTTGCTAAAAATTAAAGATATATTTCTTCTATTTTCGATTAACCTCTTAGTTAATAGCCAATGGAAAATATTAATCTTTGTAAATGTCAAAACAATTCCATATCCAATATTTTTCTTTAATTGTATTAAAATATGTTTTACTAATAAAATTCACACATTTAAAATGTTTAGTTTATGATAATTGTTTTTATTAATTCAAACTTTAGCCATAGCCAAATGCAACATATATATTTATCTTGAAAGTTACATCTAACGGAGGTTGAAAAAAAAATTGAACCAGACCAGGAGGTGCTCAGGACTTACTTCTGGCTCTGTGCATAGGAATCACACGTAATGAGGCTCAGGTTGAACCAGGGTAAAACTTTCTTGTAATTCAAATAAAAGGAAGGAAGGAAGGAAGGAAGGAAAGAAGGAAGGAAGGAAGGAAGGAAGGAAGGAAGGAAGGAAGGAAGGAAGGAAGGAAGGAAGGAAGGGAAGACAAGTAAAAAATCTAAAGACAATTGAACAGTACAGTAAACCCATGGTATAATCAGTACTTTTAATCATACTCTAATGACCTACTTCCAATTTGCAATCAGAAAACTGATATCGATTACGATTATATAATTTTTCAAGATGCCAAATATTTACATCAGTAAGTATCAGGTACAATACAAATTTGAATCTAGTTTTTTTTTTGATACATAAGAATGCTCTTTTAACTAAACAATGATTAACCTCCATTAAATAAGAATTTGTTGAGAACGGAGTGTGCAGAGATTATAGAGTACTATGACACACCAAAGTGATAAAACAGATCCCTGCCTTAAGTAAGTTCTACTTTAAAACATATACAGGAGAGGTTGGAGTGATAGCACAGCAGGTGGGGTGTTTGCCTTGCATGTGGCCAACCCGGATTTGATTCCCAGCATCCCATATGGTCCCTGGAACACTGCCAGGAGTAATTCCTGAGTGCAGAGCCAGGAGTGATCCCTCGGTATTGCCGGGTGTGAACCAAAAAGCAAAAAAGCAAAACAAAAACAAACAAACATACAAAAACATATACAGGAATGTATTACTCAATCAGTTAATTGAGATGCCCATGGTCAGCCAATAGTTTATTCCATGTCAAACAGAGTAATGATTACGAAAAAAATACATAAGGCTGAAAAAAAGATTATACTACTGATGACTTACTTTAACTCTGTAGGATATCCATGTTTAGACCATTTCTCAATCTCCTTATGATATTTCATCCATTTGCTATCACATATTATAATTATCTGTAATTTCTGGGGCTAAGATATCTCTGTCTATGTTTTGACTCTTCATCTTATAGTTAGTGCATCAAAATTATCTGAAGATCTTATTTTATGAATGAAGATCTCAAGATCTTTGAGTTTTCTCCAGCTTTATTTTTTTAGTTTTTACCATTAATGTATCATGATCTGAAAGACACTTGTAATTTAATCTTTATGACTTCATTGACATTTGCTTTGTGGCTCAGTATGTATTCTGGAGAATTTTTAAATGATCAAGGGAAAAGAATGTATATTTTACTTTGGAGGGCTGGAGAGTCCTGTAAAAATGTATCAACTACTTATTTAAGGCTGTTGTTGCCACATTGAATTTTAATCTGACCTATGCAGTGGTGGACTGCAGTGCTAAAGTCTTCTGTGGTTCTTCTGTTGCTAGGTTACTCTCCTTAAGCCATTTGTAGTATTTAGTAGTTATATATTTTGCTGCCCTTTCAGTTGAGCAACAAAATGCCTAAGAGTGTTAAGCCTTTTTAATGCATGGATTCATCTTTATACAATGTCATTCCCTGCCTATCATTTCCTTTCTTAATCTGAAATGTAATATGTCTGATTTAAGTATGAGTTTCCCTGGACTTTTTAGGCTCTCTGATTGTTCTCCAATTTTTACTTTGAAACGGTGTTTATGATTAAAGTTCAAGCAGCAGAAGACTGCATTATTTCCTATTAACCTGACTACTCTGTATCCATTGTAGAATATCTATAATGTGCAGGATTTATAAAACAAACAGTATTCTAAACGCCTATGAAGTTGGGTCACATGCCTTGTGGAATTCTGTTTGTGCAGATTGCTTTGTTGTTGCTTTCTTTTACTTTTCTTCTACATTTTAGGTCACATCTTTTGTGCTCGGGGGCTATTCTGTGGTATTATGCTTGAGGCCCATTGCTGAGTCATTGCTATAGGTTGTCAGGGAGAAAATCCAGGGTTCTATGTGCAAAGCATGTGCTTCTTCACATGGAGTACTCTCCCTTATCATCATTAGATGATTTTGAGGCAGTAACTAGCTAACTATACATAAGAGAATACTAACTTGTAAAAATTTCCATTTGCAAGTTTCTTACAAAAAATATACACATGCATATTTTATTTATTTGTTTTTTGGGCCGCATCTGGTGGTGCACAAGGCTTACTCCTCGCACTATTCTGAATTATTGTTCTTGGAGAGGCTCAGGGGATAGATGGAGTGCCAAGGATCAAATCCAGGCCAGTCACTTGCTCTGGACCCCTACATTAAAATATTTTAAATAGTGAATACTGTAGTACTGTAGCACTGTCCTCCCATTGTTCATCGACTTGCTTAAGTGGGCCCAGTAATGTCTCCATTGTGAGACTTGTTGTTACTGTTTTTGGCATATCGAATACGTCACGGGTAGCTTGCCAGACTTTTCTGTGCAGGTGAGATACTCTCAGTAGGTTGCTGGGCTCTCTGAGAGGGGTGGAGGAATCGAACCTGGGTCGGCCAGGTGGGTCATGTGCAAGGCAAATGCCCTACCGCTGTGCTATCGCTTCAGTAAATACAATTGTCTCAAATTAATGTGTTTTCCTTTCATTTAAAAACAATGGACTAAAAAAATTTAAAAATAAAGACTAAGAAACAGTTCAAATTTCGAGTTTACCCTCCATACTAGTGACCCAAGTGTTCAATCCCAAGCATCTCATATGATGTGCAAAGAGTGATCCTTGAGCACAGAGCCAGGAGTAAGCCCTGAGCACAGACGGATATGGGGTCCCAAAACAAAATAAAACAGAAAAACAGCAAAAATAAATAAATAAATGAGATGATTCATATTCTATTCCATTTTAGGGTTTTTTAGCTGCTAACAAAACAAAATATATAAAATCAATTATTATCTCTGTATAATATTTTACTCCTATTTGCTTTAGTGTTGAATGCTAAAGCTAGAAATAGAAAATAGGATGTTAATTAGAAATAATACTGACCCAAGATCTTCAACTCTGCATTTGCATAAATAGCTCCATGGGTGTTTTCAGCTATGCACTGGTACATTCCAGCATGGTCAAAAGTCACATCATATAGTCTCAATTCACCTTTATGATACTGAAAAGAATACAGAGTGAAATACATCTTCTTCAAAGCTTTAATATGAATATTTTCATTTAATTTAGCTTTGTATATAAATTTTACTCTTATTAAGTTTAGTGAGGTGGGTTTTTCATGGTATGGGGAATTAAAATCCACTTATCTCAGCCAATTGTTCTTGTTCTATTCATACTTTAATAACCTAAAGTCCATGTTCTCCTTTGTGGCCAGGCTGGGAAATTGCTACAGGAGGACAGGTAAGGAACCCCTGATACTACTTGTCCCTAAATCCAAAGGTAAGATCTTCACTCTGTTTTTGTGAGGCCACGGAAACCATGGCAAAACACAGAGGAAAGTATCAGGTGGTAGAGTCAGGTGAGTAGAAAAAAGAGGCAAAAAGTGCAACAAAGGAAATATTAAGGAGAGAGAAGGTAGACATAATGGTATAGAAAGGTTTTTAAGAAAAAAATAAGTTAATTGTTATTAATTGCATCTATTAAAACATATTTTATTTCAGAACCCACTATGCATACTCTAATGAATCTCCTACTAAATTAATTCCAGGACAATATGAAAATGTTGCTTGAACATGGACTCAAGAAATTAACATACATACCGGATATCCATTTTTCAACCATCGGATTCCAGGGATAGGCTTGCCCGTGGCCACACAAGGCCAATAGAGATCACTGCCTATGTCCACTTCTGTGTCATTGATATGTTCTACCCACTCAGGAAATGCTAAAGAGTAAAGAATATGGTCAATTTCAAATGCAAGTTTAAATATTTACCATAATCTTACGAGAGGAAATATTACATTTGATTAGCCTTAAGGATAATAAAACATCAAATATTATACATGTCATTAAACCAATGAAAGAAACACTGACATAGTATTTACATAATTTGGCACATTTTATTCTATATTTTGTACCAATAGTAACTGTAATTCAATTATAATTATTTTTTTATTTTTGAAATTTTGGGAAGTAAATTTAAAAATAATTATTTTTCTTATAAGAAGCCCTACAAATAACAACGTTTTAAAAATTACTTAATTTACTCCTTTATCTTAAATTATTTTACACTACCTTTTATCTTTTCAGAAAGAAAAGCAATCCCCGCCCCCTGTCTTTCAAGTATAGACCATATGATAAAAGTTTTGACTGGAGACAGTATACTATAGAACTATAAAAGTAACTTAGGTACATCAGGAAGAACTCAGACTCCTAAATGTATATACACCTAATGAGGGACCAGCAAAATACATAAAATAACTGCTAATAGACTTGAAAAAAGACATTGATATAAACACTATAATAGTTGGAGACTTCAACACTGCTTTATCGTCATTCAGTAGATCAACCAGATTAAATCTCAGCAAGGACATACTTTATGTGATGGAAGAGATGGAAGAAAACGACATATATTTGACATTTCATATATATATGTACATATATATGTATATATATATATGACATTTCATCCCCCCAAAAGTGGAATACCCATTGTTCTCCAGTGCACATGGGACATTCTCCAAGATAGACCACATGCTGAGCAACAAAACATAGCTCCATAAAATTAAAAGTATAGAAATTGTATCATGATCTTTCCAGACCATGATGCAATTACAGTAAAAGTGAATCACACACAGAAACAGAGAATCAAATCAAACACCTGGAAATTAAATAGCTCAATACTGAACAACCAATGGCTTAGAGAGGAAGTCAAAAGATTTCTAGAAACAAACAAGGATGAAAACATGACTTACTAGAACTCATGGGACACAGCAAAAGCAATGTTAAGAGGAAAGTTTATAACTCTGCAAGCATTTCTTAGGTAGGGAGCATGAGTCCACACAAGTAACCTAACCTCACAGATTAGGATCTGGGTAAATGACCAACAAAAAGAGACCAAGCTAAAGAGGAGGAAGGAAATAATAAAACTTATATGGAAATCTCGTCGGTAAAGAAACAAAAAGCACCTGGTCCAGACAAGATCAGACCTGAACACCTGAAGAACTTACCATCAGTACTCATCAATACATTAGCTCGACTCTTCACACGCTACCTGTCTGAATGCAAGGTTCCATCCCAATGGAAAACCAGCAAGACTGTACTACTATACAAGAAAGGAGACATCCACGACATTGGCAACTATCGCCCAATCTGCCTACTGTCTGTCATCTACAAACTATTCACTCGAGTCATCCTGAATAGGATTAGCAGAACATTAGATGAAGGACAACCATGTGAACATGCTGGATTCCGAAAAGGATTCAGTACCATTGACCATATCCACACAATAACCAAGCTCATTGAGGTATCTCGGGAGTTCAAGATGCCGCTCTGTCTAATGTTCATTGATTTAAAGAAGGCCTTTGATTCTGTTGAGACGGAAGCGGTCATGGAAGCCCTAGCCAATCAGGGCGTACAAACTCAATACATCAGGATCCTTCGTGAGCTCTATTGCGGATTCACTACCAAGATCTCACCATTCTACAAAGAAGTAATCATCCATATCAAGAGAGGGGTTCGGCAGGGTGATACCATTTCACCAAAACTCTTCAGTGCCACCCTCGAGAACATCATGCGACGACTAGAATGGGAAAACATGGGAGTGAAGATAGATGGTCCGCAACTACACCACCTCCGCTTTGCTGATGACATCGTTCTAATAACACCAAACATCAGCCAAGCGGCACAAATGCTGGCGGACTTTGACCGTGAGTGTGGAAATGTCGGACTACAGCTGAATCTTACGAAGACAATGTTTATGAGAAACAGCCTTGTTCCTGACGCTCCATTCGCTCTCAACGGAACCACCATCGCCGAATGCAACAGTTATATATACTTAGGTCGAGAAATCAACATGATGAATGACCTGGCACCTGAGTTACGCAGGAGGAAGAGAGCAGCTTGGAATGCCTTCAAGAGCATTGAAGAAATAACTAAAAGGACAAAGAACCTCCAGCTACGAGCACATCTCTTTGATTCCACTATTCTTCCTGCATTAACATATGCCTCAGAGACCTGGACCCTACAAAAACAGGATGAGAACACTATTCGGGTCTCTCAAAGAGGAATTGAAAGAACTATGCTTGGAATATCACGATTCACTCAAATGAGAGATAGAATCCGGAGTTCTGATCTTCGTCAACGCTCAAGAATCAGGGACGCTGTCTCATTTGCCAAGACATCAAAAATCAGATGGGCTGGACACGTAATGAGGTTTACAGACAACCGCTGGACTAGAGCCATTACTGATTGGATTCCACGAGACATCAAAAGATCACATGGACGCCCACCTATAAGATGGTCAGACTTCTTCGTCAAGACCCTGAATGATCGGTTTGAGGCTCTACATGTTCCTAAAACGAACAGATACCATTGGGCTACGCTAGCACGCAACCGGGATGAATGGAGACGTTACTGGCACCCGCTCGAATAAATCGATGAATAACAGGGATTAAGTGATTAAGTGATTAAGTGATATGGAAATTAACGAGCTAGAAGCCCAAAAAGCAATCCAAACAATCAATGAAATCAGAAGCAGTTTCTTTGAGAAAATAAACAGGACTGATAAACTACTTGCAAGACTCACAAGTAAAGAAAGAGCGGAAAATGCTAATAAGCTAATAAACAGTATCAGAAACGAAAGAGGGGACATCACATCAGAAACCACAGAAACTCAAAGGTTCATCGGAGGATACTTTAAGAATCTTTATGCCATGAAACAAGAGAACCTAGAAGAAATTAATAAGTTCCTGAACTCCAATAACCTCCCAAAGCTGACAAAAAAAGATTTGGAATACCTGAACATACTTATCCCTATTGAGGAAATTGAAATAGTGAAAAAAATTCTCCCACAAAACAAAGGCCCAAGCCCAGATGGATTTACTAGTGAATTCTTCCAAATCTTTAAAGAGGACTTACTCCCAATACCTTTCAAGCTTTTCCAGGAAATTGAAGAATCAGAAACACTTCCAAACAGTTTCTATTAAGCAAATATCATCCTGACACCTAAAGAAGATAGAGATACCAAAAAGAAAGAGAATCGCAGGCTGATATCCCTGATGTACACAGATGCAAGGATCCTCAAAAAAATCCTAGCAAATATAATCCAATGATCCATCAAAAAGATGATATACTTGGAAAAGTAAGATTCATCTTGGAATGCAAGGATGGTTTAATACTCAAAAGTCAATCAATTTAAAACACCACATCAATAAAAGAAAAGATAAAACCATATGACCATATCAATAGATGCAAAGAAAGGATTTGACAAGATCCAGCACCCATTTCTGATAAAAAAAAATCAAATAAATGGGAGTTAAAGAAACATTCCTCAGAATAGTCAAAGCCATCTACCACAGGCTCATAGCAAGCATTATTCTCAATGGGGAGAAACTAAAATCTTCCCTCTAAGATAGGGGACAAGAGAATTTTGCCCACTTTCATCACTTCTATTCAAAATAGTACTGGAAGTACTTGCCATAGCAGTTAGGCAAGAAATAGATATCAAGGAAATACAAATAAGAAAGAATTCAAGTTCTCACTATTTGCAGATGACATGATACTATATGTAGGAAATCCTCAAGACTCAACAAAATAGGTACTAGAAACAACAGGTTTATATAGTAACTGGCAGGTTATAAAATCAACGCCCCAAAATCCATAACTTTCCTATATTGAAAAAATAAAAGAGATAATTAAAAAAAACCATTCCATTCACAATTGGACCTGAGAAAACTAAATACCTTGGAATGAGCTTAACTAAACAAGTGAAAGATCGTACAAAGAAAACTACAAAACACTACTTTAGGAAATAAAAGAGGACACAAGGAAATGGAGACGTAGCCACTGCCTCTGTATTGGTAGGATTAAAATTGTCAAAATGGCGAAACTCCCCAAAACATTATACAGTAACACCTATGAGGATATCCATGACATTTTTCAAAGAAATCGAAAAAAACCTCCTAAACTTCATATGGAACAATAAACCCCCATGAAGAGCGAAAGCAATCTTTCAGAAAATGAAGACAGGGAGCATCACCTTTCACAACTTCAAATTGTATTACAAAACAGTAGCAACTAAAACAGCATGGTATTAGAATAAAGACAGACATGCAGACCAATAATAGAGTTAAATATACTAACAGAGACCCCCATATATATGATCACTTAATCTTTGACAAAGGGGTAAAAAAATGTGATATGGAGCAAGGAAATATTTTTCAAGAAGCAATGCTGTGAAAACTGGATGGCCACATTAAAAAATATATGAATGTAGACCTCTGTCTAATGCCAGGCACAAAAGTCAGATAAAAATGGATTAAAGACCTCAATATCCAACCTGAATCCATAGGTACATGGACCAAAACATAGGCAGAACCCTCCATGACATTGAAGCTAAAGGTATCATTAAAGATGAAACACCGTTGACCAAGCAAATAGAAGTAAAGATAAACAAATGGGACTACATTAAGTTAGAAGCTTCTGCATCTTAACAGAAACAGTGACCGAGATACAGAGAAAACCCACGGAATGAGAAAAATTGTTTGCCCAATGACCATCAGATAAGGGGTTAATTTCCAAGATATATAAGGCACTGGTAGAATTTTATAGGGAAAAAAATCTCCAACCCCATCAGAAAATGGAGAGAATAAATGAAGAGAAACTTCCTCAGAGAAGAAATACAAATGACCAAAGGCACATTTAAAAAATGCTTTAGAGGCAGTG